ATAAGTAATCGTGTTATAGTTTTGAAGTCAAATGGTAAATTCACGATGTGGAAACTACCCACTTCAATTCAAGCAAACGAAAATCCTATACAACTTTTTTAGAAAGAATTATTTAATAGCAACACAAAAACAAGAACTAATCAATATCGAACGAATAATCAAAGAAATCAACGAAGCTTGGAATAATGCGGAAGATAGAGTTCGTTTAGAATACGAAAAGCTTTACTTTCTCAATAAATCCCTGATCCGAATACTCGAATTGATTTTCTTACCAAGATTAATAACGTTCTTCCATATCATATTCAACCTGATTTCTTCGCAAAACTCAAAAGAAATATAAAACTCGAAGCCCGTCGATTACAAAAGAATTTATCTAAAGAACATGAAGCCGTTAGATTAATGAATCTGAATGGTGGAAATAGTCTGGCAAATTATAGCAGAATTGTACAATTGCCACCAAAAGCAATTCAATTATATATTTGTATGAGATCGAATAAATTCACATATAACCGGTGCTTGTTTTGCCATATTCGAAAATATTTTCATTAATTTATGTAAATTAATTATATTTCTATACCATTATTTTTATACCGATATTTTTGATTTATTAATGGGAATTTATATTTAGTTTTGATTCAGTTATTTCTATTCAATATTTTTGATTTTTGATTTTTTTATTGAAAAGATTTTTTTCATTACAAAAGGGTTTTGTTTAAAAACTTTACTTGATTTAGTAATAATTTCGGTATTGTCAATAAAAGTGAAACGCTAAAATTTCCTAAATTTTAAAATAACGTATTTGATAATGAAATGAGCAAAATGGGTTTCCATACTAGGGAATTCGGGTTCTTAGATTTTATTTATTAGAAAGATATTTGTATGCTCTCGATCCTTCAAATCTAGTTGATTTGGTAGCTAAATTATGTCCTTTTATCTGGTTTATTTCTTGTTCGATTCGAGGTCTTTTTTTCATTCATATACATTATCAGGTAGGTTTGACTTCACCAGAACTTTCTTTTTAACGAATTTCCGTATGTTGGGTTTAAGGTCTGGCAGCACCAATACGGTCCGCAAACTTATCTAGTGCAATTGATCCACTATTTTAAATGCGAAAGTATCGATTTCATTGTGGTTCCTTATGAATCAACGGTAAATGTACTGAACTTCATCTATATACCACGCTTTTTAAGAAAAATAATAAAAATCTTCACTCAGTACGATTATCAACAAACTTTGATCACTTGAAACTGAAAAAAAAAATAAGAACAAAAACAAAGGCAATGAATTATTAAGAATCGAAAATTAAATATGGTGATGCAAGGGGTAATAGCAGTATGCTTTTTATATGATCTGTGTAAACTATATAATTTAATTTTTAAAAATTTATTTAATTCTATATAAATATAGAATTTTTATATATTAAATATAAAAAAATAAAATCATTAATAAATAACAAATAATTATATACAAATCAATAGGCCTGTATGGTCGATCGAACAAAACGAATCGCGTCTGTTCGGAATACACAAGCCAATAGAATTTGCGATCAAAAATGCCGATCGACCAACTTTGAACTAGCCTAATATGGAAAATCCAAGTGTACTAGTTGATAAATAAGAAAATCAGAAGAATTTATTATGTAAAATTATCTTTTTATTTATCTATTTTTAATAATAATTTGTACATTTTCATGTTGTGTAATATGAAAGTTATGCTATGAAAAGTGGGTTATGAATAATTGATGATCAAAAATAGTTACTCATAATAAATATAATTAGCCAATAAAAATTGCATTAAATATATATATTGAGTCAAATCAATTAATAAAGTGATACTCTCATTTAATTGAGCATATCATTGGGTCTGAGATTAGTTTTAATTCTTAAGATATTTTTCTATATGAACAGATCATCATCTCGCTAGTTCACTATTTAGGTAAATCTTGTGGGAATTAATAGGTTAAAAATAATACTAATAGCAAGTATTATGATGTAATAGATCCCTCAGTCCTATAGTAAAATGTAGTCTTAGATTATTAGTAATTAGTGAGAGGATATCAAAACCTTTTTAATGGCTTAATTCTAAGCATTTTTGGCAAAATCTGAACAATTCTAATGTGAGTTAATAAAAAGGGCATTAGTATCATGTGAAGACCTTAGGGAAAATCAGTAAAAATGTGACTCTTATAAATCATCCCTTCTGTATAATCTTATTCACTCAACTGTAACTGTTAATAAAAAAATTATAAGTTGATATTAATATGTTACAGCTTCAATTTTTGACTTTAAATTTATTATTAAATAAAAAAATATTATATTTGTAATTTTCCTTTTCAACATAGTTTTTAATATATATATATATATATATTATAATTAATTTAATATCTAACATACTAGAAACAGATTCTCACTAATCTCTATTAATCATTATACAAATAAAATTTAAGGCTTATACGAGATTTTGTATAGTTTCAACCCAATCACAATTTTGACGTAAATTATTTTTGATATAAAAAAATGCTTGTTCAATTTATAAAATTATATAAATATTAAGCTTAATTACTATGATATAAAAATAATAAATACAAATTTGATTATATACTAGATTATATATAATCTGATAAATAAGAAGGTAAAAATAAAAGACAAATTCCTTTCTTTTCACAAATATTATGTGAATAATGTTTCTTGTGTATAGATGCATTATTTATAATTAAAATACTTTATTATTCTAAAAAAAAATTCATCTTTGAAAGCTTTTAATAAAAAGTATTGTAATAAAATTATTAATATTTAGGTTTTAAAACTATAAATAAATAACATATCGAAATATTTTCAATAAAATGTTCATAATCAGTAGTATTTATTGATTCTTCCTGAATATCATATGCAAGAAGACTATTAATATATAAGACTCCCTCAATAGTGAAACTTTTTACTCTAACAAAAAAGGAATCTGTTTTTGCATGAGTTCCTGTTACACTCCATCCATATCTATAAGAAAGTGTTCTTCTATTATATGCAAATTCTTCAGAAAAAATAAGTTAAAATGCTGTATATTGTATTATATTTAAAATAAACTCAGCCCTTTCAATTTCATTTCTCTCTTTTGTAATTTTAGATAACTATAAATAGTTAAATCATTTACATTAATATCATTTGCAATTGTAATTTATAATAAAAAATTTTTTTTTTAATATACCTCTTGTGAGCCAGTAAACAGCTCTTTAAATAATACTACAACTAACTTTTTGATCTAACCATAAATCCATTTCTGATTGAAACTCCCATAAATACTAATCTACTTTTTCTTTTAAAAGAGCTTCAAGGTATTATATATTATTAAATATTAATAATTGTGATCTTTCTTGCAGTGAAAAAAGCTTCTTCATAAAACCATATTTTTTTGAAATATTGTAAAATATGTGAAACAGAAGACTTGCTAATTCTTAAATAAATAGTAATTATTTTATATGAAAGATCAGCTAAAGATTTTTCAATAATTTAATGTCTAACATAATTATTGATTGCATATATTTTACAAAAAATTTCATTATAAACAAATATTAATTACATAATCTTACATAATTTTTGTTTCATAAGAAATTTATTGATGCTGACAGTTTGCAAATTATATAATTTTGCCGATAAACTAATAAGCTGATACTTGCTGAATATCTTTTTTTATATAACTAGTATTTGTTTACTTTTGGATTTTGCTATAATAGTTTTTATAATTAAAGTTACCCAACAGTTCAGATATTACTATATTATCATTTTTTTAATTAAAGTCACTTTTGACACTTTATATGTAATATTTATTATATAAAATAGTTGTACTAAACTGTCAGTCAGTGCTAGAAAAATAATAATAACAGTCATATCCAAACTGTCAGAAGGGATTATTATTATAAAAAAAAAATAATAAAAGTCACACCTAAACTATCAGTGTGATTTTTATTAAAAAGTGATAATAAAGTCACTTCTGACAATTTAGATGTTACTTTTATTATTATTTTATAATATAATTAAAGTCACCTCTAACACCTTAAGTATGATTTTTTCTAATAAAGTCACATTTGAACTGTCAAGAAGCAGCTTTTATTTTCATATCTGACAGTTCAGATTCAGCTTTTATTATTATTTTTTATAATAAAAATCACTTCTGACAGTTCAAATGCAATTTTATTATTATATTTTATAATAAAAGTCAGCTTTGACACTTCATATGTAATTTTTTCTAATAAAGCTGCATCTGAACTATCAGAGATGGCTTTTATTATCATATTTGACAGTTCAGAGGCAACTTTATTATTATTTTTCATAATAAAAGTCACCTGACTAAAGATGGGAACTGTAATTAATATGTTGCAACTTTTAATGTTGCAACTTACGTTGCAATTAGTTTTAACCT